CTCACACTTTAGGTGTTTCAGCCATATTGCTCTTCAGCGTGTTTGACAGAAAGGTGCCAAATTACTACCTTCCCTCTCACATGGGAGGGTGAGGGGGCTGCAAGGCAGAGGATCTGCAAGGCAGTCAGGAACTGAACCCAACTTAGATACCATTCCCAAAACACAGAAGTCACCATTCATCTATTTCCAAGATGAACCCACCATCAGGGATAACATTCCCCCAGATCTTCTCCACCATGAACACCTGCTGTCTAGCTGTACGCATTTAGATATCCTCTTGCAGTGGCAGGCCTATCAAACCTTATACTTCAATAGTATGATATCATGGCTCTGTAAACACAAAAGAAAATGGGCTGAGAAAGGAAAGCAGAAGTAAAATAGGCAATAGTGGATAGCACACTGTTATTTGAGAGCACAAAAGGTATTGTTGAATATACCTTGTGTGATTTTGCTATTACAATTCAAAACTTAGTTGAATACCTGTATTTCACTCACAATTCATACACTCCTCGTGGAATTATGAGCTTCTATATACCAGTCAAACCAGATGCTCTAAGAGTAGGCAATGGCCCACTGGATTGCAGATCCATATAGTTTTATTGCAGGGGAACTACATACAGACCATGATCTTAATGAGACACTGAACCCATTTTCCACCTGGTTGCATGATCCAGCTTTTCTCCTCACAAATCAAAAAAAGTGCAGTAACTCAAAAAAAAAAAAAAAAAATTGTAAAACTCAGCCTTCCTGGAGGTCCCAATGCTTCTTGTGTCAAATTCCAGACACTAATTTTTTGTTTTTGATACCTGGAAGACTTAAAGCTACTGCCTTTTGGAAAAGCTCAGGAGTACTGCTTTCCATCAAGGGAGTGTCAGGAAATTAATAATATAGAAGAAAAAAATCCTCTGTATCTCCAAAAATGTTGACTTAGGAAGTACTCCTCTAAGGTATAGAAACAAACAAGCATTACAACTCTCTATCTACAGACAAAATACCAAAATATCAACTTAAAAGATCTTGTAAAGTCTTAAAGAGTTTTGCTTTAGCCTTGTTTGCTTGAGTTTGTACACTGGAATGCTCAGCATCACTTGTATACCTCAGACCACTTGTTTCCACCAACTGCTCTGTGGCTTGCTCGTGTTCAAAATGCATTTTGTGGGAACAAACTTGAGCTCGTACACCATCTTCCACACATTTTCTCTTGTTCATAACATGTCCTATTTCCAGCCACACTTCATCTGGTTAGCAGCAGAGCACAGGCCTACTTTTATGGTGGATACCAAACACGTTGTGAAGTGCTCAGGACTGTCAAACTGCTGGGACATCTTTGGTACACTCAGGGGAAGGCCAGTTCCTAGCATTCAGCATGTTTGGATAGACAAGGTTTGAGTAAGGCACCGTCACCCTACACTTTGTTACTTCCCCAAGTAAACCAGTGGGCTCCTCTGACCTTGTGCCAACATGTAGACACACAGAAGACCTAAAATTTGAGCACTGAGTCCAGTTCAAACCCTTGGAGAATATGCCCCCTAAAGCCATACATACGACAACCAGTATTTTAATGCAGATTTCAGGAAGTACACCTTCCGTCACCTCTGGCTTGCCTGCCCACTCCCCAGTGGCTGTGGATTCATAGTTTCCCATGAACTTCCTCCCTCCATTGTACTTGCATTTCACAAGAAAACAAATCTTCAGACACCTCCCCATCCTTCTTTACCCTCCCAAACTTGCTGCCTGCTCTGAATTCCTTTTCCATGTGATTTCCACTCTGCGCACTCCACCCTCGTGCCTGTACTTGCTTGTGATAGTCCACCAATGACAAGGTTTCTGCCCTCCATTCTCCTGGTTTTGGCTGGTAGTCTCTTCTTCACACTGCCGCCTGTTCACAAGAGGTCCTCAGTGATACAGAGGATGACAGTAAATTACAAAAAAGTAGAAAAATCACAGTATCATGTCTTTAGTATTTTAAACATGTTTTTCCATTTTTGCAACAATTTGTTTCAGAGTCAAAAAAAGTACTTGTTTTTTGTTTTATTTTTCCCCAGGGTGAAAAGTAACCAAGCTTTCAGAATTAAAATGGGAAGAAAGTATAAGTTATCAGAAATGTGAAAAAGAAACCTGTATATCATGAATAAATTCCCCCATTGGAACAAGGTGCTCAGTATAGATTCCCATTTCAACATATGGCCTTGTTGTTTAGCACATTAAAAGCAATTTGGTTTTCTGATGTAACAATACTTGCATTTTTATAAAGGCAGTATGGGCTCTGTGACACCCAGACACCTACCTTGTGCTATTTGTTCTATGGACAGGTGAGATGAGGGGCAAGATCCTACCGCACTCCCTCTCTAACCCCCCTCGCTAGCCCTTTGCTGTGTATTTTGACATTACTCCTTTATTATAGTAACTGAGTACAGGACATATTCATTACTCTCAGCAGACTGTTCCTTCTCAGCCTGCCTAACAGACAACTATGTCATTTCAGCTGTGTACATATTCTACTTAGAGCAAAACAGGCATGTTTTGGTTTGTGTAACAGTTGTTTTTTTTTTATTTCAGTTACTTTTTCACATAAAACTATGTAAGCTACAAAAATAGTGAAATGCATAAATGGTATTAAAACCGCAAACTTAAAAGTTTTGATAAAAAAACTCATGTGTCTTTTCCTGCTAACAATGACCATTTAAAACAAACCATATTTTGATGGATTAATTTAATAAACATACCATACACTTCTCAAAAATAAATAACATCAGAAAAACCCATACTATCAACAACATGAAGTGTTTAGTTATCTTTTTTTTTTCCTTTAAAGACAGAAATGGAATTTCTAGGCACAGTTTTAGGCATTATAGAGGACACAGAGGCAATAGGTTAGTGTGCACTGCGCTGTACAAAAATACAGTCTGAATAAATTACATTGCTAGCCATAAGATTAGACTTCACTTACCAGTCAGTTCATTGCATGTTTAATAATATACAGTTACATGCTAATCCATATATATATCATTTATATTTTAAACACATAGGTCTCTCTATATTAGTTTTTAAAATTTACAAAAGCTAAATGAAGTTGTGCAAGAAATCCAGAAGAGGTGCTAGGTACTTATGAGCACCGGATGGTATACTTCAAGCTTAAAAAATACAAATAACTAGCCCTGCTTGCAAGTTTGCTATATATTCATATTTATTTGGAAGAAAAACAATGGATTTGTTGTGAGAGAGTCATCCTGCCAATGAGATAAAGCCAAGAAAAATGAAATAATGGTGCCATGACACAAGCACAACATACAAAATGATTTGTCATACATACAATCCAGACACAGATACGTATCTTTTTTGTGGCTAGGAAAAAAAAAAAAAAAAAAATTAGCATAATGTTTATTTTAGTTCAGTGCTGAGAAACGGAACACTTGCCAAAATCGGCAATGGTAAGGAGAGGGGAGGAATGAAACAGCAGTACGAACTTAAGTTAAAGGTAGGTACCTAAACACATATATTAGATGCCCAGACACAAACAACCTGAGGAGCTTGAGAGGTGGGTCCTAATAGACTGCATTATCTTCAAGAGGAAAAGCAAGTGTTGAGACTGAAAATCAGATCTCTGACTCAAATATGAGTGAAGAACCTTGTCTTTAGGCATTCACATTTGTAAATCTTTTGCCTGAATACCTTTCATATTAACACCACATGCCTTTCAGAGTGCATATCATTAATTTACATATGCCTTAGGCTTGACAGGTGTTTTTACTCAAGCTCTACATAAGGAAAAATGAGTTGATAAATTAGTGGGATACGATATGGAGTCAGCACTGTACCTTCTTATTAGATCAGGTGAAGTGCCGCCCAATGTCAGCAAAAAACACCATCCTTCTAGAAAGAAACAGACATCTCGCAGCAAGTTTCTCTATGCTAACCTAAAATCCACGTCAAACTACAACATTCTCCATGCTGCTAAATAAAAGTAGAATTACACAGCTGTTCAGAAAGATACAGACTTAACTATATACTGAATATCCATCTTAAAGTCAGCCTCAGGAAAAAAAAGAAAAGTTGTCTGGTGCCTGTGAAACACGTGGACCTGATTGTTGACCCCATCCTTTTTTGTTCTCTAGACATTGCCATACAATCCCTTCCAAGTCAAGCTGTTATTTTGCTCTGCTCACCACTGGTCCTAGGAAGACTGCTGATATGGAATACTCTGCCATGGTAATAAATATTTAACAGAGAGACCCAGAGTTTTCTAAACCATCTTTGTACATCAGCAATACTTCCACAACAACCTCCTAAAGGCAGCCCTGTGCTCCCACAGTCTTTGCAGAACCTCTATGCCCTGCAAAGAGCAGAACAAGCATTTAAACTGTAGATGTGGTCTTAACATTGAGTAATTCAGCAGTCTTTTCTGTGGAACCAGCAAAATCATTTGTGTAGAGGTCAATGTGCAACCCCAGCATACCTACTTTTGCAGAGGTCCACATAGAATATATTTCAAATTTCTCCATTAAAAAAAAAAATAGGTATTTCTAGAGATTAGAACTGTATAAAAATATGTTCATAATTAATAAAAATATCTAAATAAAAATAAAAGTGATGCAGACTAAATTCATGTGAAAGTTCTCTATTTTATCTTGGGTTTCATTTCATGAGTACAGCCTCTGGATGTTTTAAGTGGGAAACACACTAAGCAAGGAGTAATCAGATTTACATGGTCATCAGCCATTATAAACTCAGCTTTTAAAACCAAGAGATTACCTCCTGAAGTACTAATGTTTTAACATGGACATGACAGGGTCTCAGTTCTATTCTTGATAATCAGAGACACTCACAACCTAACTAGATTTTTTTTAAAATGGCATTTTTTTTTCCTTGAAACACCCTTAGAAAAGAATTTTTAGTAAGTACTAGATGACACATGGAATAGCAAGTAGTTCCTTTGTCCACCTCTACTTTAACTTGATGTGAACTTTTAAGCATTTCCCATAACACAGAGTCTCTACATATACATAAGACAAACCATTTTATGTTTATTTTGTAACACCAACCAAAATTGAGGGTACCAATCCAAGACTTTCAAGAATGTGCATAAAGTTAGTATTTTAACCATTGCATCACAGCTCATGCTACAACTTTAAGACTAATCATCTCTTTCCCTCTGCATTTATATTTGTATTATATATATTTATACTAACGAGTATCTTTCAAAAATATAATTGAACTCGTTCCATGTGCATTCTTTTCATGACAGCATTTGAAAGTTACACAGGTACTTAGGACAACTACAACTCATTCATACACTTTAGACACCTCAGGGACAGATGAGGTCTTTTTTCTACTCCCCCCTTTCTCCACCTTTCCAGCAAAATACTCAGAGCTGAGACTTCTGATTACACAGTCAGAAACACATGTCTCCAGGTTTGGACTCCCTTCAACAATCTGCTACAGCTGGCATAGTGATCTCAATTACCAATTCATGAAATCCTGTGAGGTTGGTGGCTTGTTTGTTTTGGGTTTGGGATTTTTTTTTATTCTTCTCCCAGAAGACCGCTGAATGCAGATATTAGACAAGTCATTAACCAGTTACATTCATTGCCCTCACCACAGTCACTTGCAACTAATTCCTTAAGAGCTTTGTTGAGCATGTAACAAGGGGCCAACACAGCCTATTGTACAAGACGCCATTGCCTGCTTATCAGACATCTGACTCCTCTATGATACAGGGAAACTTCTAAATGGAGCTTATATCAGCTGCTCTCCTGAAGGCAATAGCAGATGCTGGCATTGCATTCTCATTCCAACTAGTTTTTCCACAATGATAGCTGAAACGTAGATCCTTTTGCTTGTTGTCAGAAAAATGAAGCTTATATATCAGCAGCTTGCAGCATCTGCCTATATAAGATCAGCAATCCTAGTGTTTGCAGTTCTTTTAAATGGTTGTAAAAGCTGGTTACAATGTTCACACCCAAAAGGCAAAGGCTACTGTATCAACTGAGCAGACTGGTGCTCCACAAGAGTTCTAAAAAAACTGTGAGTTAGAAAATATGGGGTAATCCTTTTGTTATTTTTCTTTCATTAAATGATTCTAGTAATAGTCTTCATAGTTCTTAGGGTTCAGGCAATAAAGAATGGCACCCCCAAATGAAAATATAGTTGCACCCCAAGCCAGGCCATAGCCCCAGTTGAACTCATGGTATATTTTCAAGCTGACTGTTTCGATGAACTTGATTGGGTAAAGGACTAAGCTGCACACCTGAAGAACAACTGAAAGAGAAAAAAAAACAAATGTCACAAGAAGCCTTCTATTAGTTTCCATAAAATAAACATTACATAACTGAAACTCATATTTTAAATGCTCTTGGTGCATGTTAAGCTTGTAAGTACTGCTCTGTTTGGTAAAAAATATCACCTTCATTTCATTCACAAAGAACACAGCAGTTTCGACATTCCCTCTTTGATGAAAACATTCAGTATGGTGTTAACAATGACCTGTCAGATATCCACAAAATAAACAATGAAACCAATCTTTCCCCAGTTCTTTTCTGTCTCTTAGTGTTTTAGTTTGCAGTCATTATTCCTTCCATAACAACAAAACTAAGATCATTTGTTCTATAGCTATAAGTAAGTCAAAATGAGAATCAAGAATAAATGACTATTGAGAAATATAGCTCAGAATAAAATAATTTACTTAGCCTAGAAATAATTCATTGTAGCAGGCAATGCATATTATACATATTTGTGCTCAGTAGAGACTTACTGAATTACATATTTCACATGCATTACTGCATACTGTAATCAGAATTAATGCTATTGTTAGAACACCAAGGGATCTATACAGTTTGATCAGTCACGAGACTTCCTACTGGCAAAACATTGCCTTGTATAATGAACTTGGAAGTGCTTCTTCTTAGAAGAGCTTTGTGAGGAAAAAATAAAAGAAAAAAAGCTAATAAAACAGATCAAATGCAAGGCAGTAAAAAGCTTAAAAATAGTTATTTCTACAGCACTGTTTCTGAGAGTGCCAGATCTCATGCAGCCTGATCCACACATCTGCACTGGAATTCAGGAAACCTGTTAAATGCTGTGCTACCAAAAAAAACCAAGAAACAACCCACAAAAAAACAAAAAAAACCCCAACCAACACTCAAACCACTAAACCCACCCCCATACAGTAATCTGCAAAGGAAAATACACAGATGAATCCCCCAAATTTTCACAAGATTTTAGTTTCATCGGCACACATTCCCTTTTAAATTCAGGCACACTCAACAGAAAATTGGGACAACAGTTTCTATGGTAAGCAGGGGAAAATTATACTTGAAGACAAGAACAAGCCACATGATGTAGCAAATCCTCATGCCCCTAATTCTGCTTCCCACAAGACTAAATATCACAGGAACATACAAAACATCCTTTTTGCCCCTCAAATACACAATATGGCCTTATGACAGCGCTTCCCTCCAACATGTAACGCTAGCAATTTTTCAAGACTCCAGTCCGTGACTGCCTCTTGCAAACTACCCCAGCCCACCGATTACAAGCAGGCTGGGCACATCCACACAGTTAAGCACATGCATAAGCATTTGCAAGCCTGAGAGAGATACACTCTGATGAAAGTTCAACGGTATACAGTGTAATGCCATCATAGCTACTTTTTTTTTTTTTTAACATTGGCAAGGTCATTCTGTACAGTTAATTAGGTATTGTAAGAAGAACAAACACTGTTTAGAGAATTGTTTCAAAGCCAGCGCCAACACAAAAGGCCAGTAGATAACAGAGACGAAGACTACTCTGGACTACAGAAGTCCTGAAATCACACTGAGAAAATACAGGAAAACGAAATAATTTTATTCTCCTCCTGCTTGAACATTCCACACACTCAAAATCTGTCATTGCCATTTTGTTCCCACACGTACACTTTAGTGTTGTCAAACTGGCACCTTTCATTAGCCCTGAAGACTAACGCTTACCTATCCTCTGGATAGGACTGGTACAGGGAGATGGTTTCCAGTGTTCATTGCACATTTTGCCATAACACTATAAAACATTCATTGGAAACTCCCCCCTGTCCTTAGCTTACAGACTAGTCTTGGGACTCTTACCTGAGACTGACAATCTGAATAATGGTAATGGATTTTTTGATGTGGATACAAAAATCCACAGGATTTTTTTAATCCTGAAGTTATTGAAGTGTTATTCTGTGTTATTCCATTTCAATATAATTTTTTTCTCCCAGCTTACAATACACTGTGCAACACTGGAAAAATTTTGACAGGTTATAACTAGAGGAAGCACCCACTCTTATGAAAAGATTATGTATTCCACTTTTGCATAAAGAGAACATCATTATACTTCAAACCACCCGAACATATGTTCAGCTTTCAGGCACATCCTTAAGACCATTCAAAGTCAAAAAGGATTTCCTAAGATGAATAAAAACTGACAGGTTTTTCAGTGGCTTCCTTAACATGCAACAACTCTGCTGAATCAATACAGACGCTTCTCTGTGTGTGTCTGTGTCAAGGGACAACCAAGGAAGCTCTCCACCTTCCCTCAATCTAAAATATGAAGTACACTGAATTTTAATCTACAGACTGGACTTGTGGCAACAAAAACAAAAAAGTGATTATCTTGTAATACAAAAGTTGCCAAAGCAGCAACACCCATGACAGGTATTTTAGACATTTTTATAGTGAGGGTTCTTGCTTTTGTGCTACTGTCCAGCTACACTATTGTAAAACTCAAAGCGCTGGCAGCAACTGGCCAGTGGAGACAGCCACGCTGCACAACACTTTTATCACTCTGCACTATTTTTGCCTCCTGTCACTGTTTCTCCCTTTAGAATGAGTGGGAAGAAAACTGCGTAGGCTAGAAACAAGTTAGTGAAGTTATGAAAAATGACCAGTATGGCCCCAAAAGACGTTAAAAACAATGCTCACAACTACTGATCTGTTTCTGATGAATTTAAAGACACTCCACGTTATGTTGACCTGCTTATGGGAAGTGTGCCGAATACCTTTCTTCAGAAGTACTAGTCTTTTCACATAGAAAAAAAGGCTGCAAAAGAAATCTTAAAAAAAATCCACTTCAAAATGCTATTCGAAAAACACCAGTCATCTCAAACCAGACTATTTCCTTCAAGCTTAGATCAATTTTCATGACTAGCATTATGATGCTTACAAGACAACTGCACAGGAACAGAAATACTAGTTTTATTCCATTTACATTAAATGCATGTAATTATATATACTTACCATATTAAACAACCAGAAATCATAACAAATGCTTTAAAACTAGCAACATTTAATTTCAGTCATCTTGGGTTTTTTCTTCAAATGTTTGACTAAAACAGTTTTGCTGCCAAAAAGAAACTTATGCTGTGCCCTTTCTAACTGGTCTGTATTTGCGAAAATGGTGGCGCTCCTAGTATTTCTGCTCCCTATGCGATTCCTCCTGTTCATTCATATGGGTAAGGCACTTCATTAATAACCAATGAGTGTTGAAGTTTCAAAGATAAACACACATGCAACTGCTCTCTAAGAAGTTGTTTGTATTTAATACAACCTGTGCAATTAATTGGGAAGCAGCATGAAGAGAAAGGAGGTCAGTGCTGATTTTTAAAATACTGCTAGCTCAAGCACAGGCTATTCCACTACACAGATGACCAGGCATTTCAGCAGGAGGCAACAAAGAGCTTCTCAATGAAGGACAGATGATGACAGGAGTATAAAAATACTGTTTTGATACTTAGATACAAACTCAGGAAGGCTGAAGCCCATCTGGAGCTCACATTAAGCCAGGAAACGGAAAAAGGGTAATAAGGAAGAATTTCCACAGGTGCATTAGTTGCAAAATGAAGTTCAGCAAACATATTTATACAATGATAGACAGGAAAGCCAGTCTAGCAACAGATAATGCATTGAGACACCTTCTCCAAGATCTCTAAGTGAAAGTGACAAGGTTTGGGAGGGTGTCAGCAGATCAGCAGTGCAAGAACTACTTAGGAGTAGCATCCGTATCGATGGGAACAGATGGGATCAAGCCAAGGGTAATGAAAGAGCTGGCTAACGTCATCATGAGCCCTCTATCATCTACGAAAAATCACAGTGATCAGGAAATATGCAGATGACTGGGAAATGGTTAATGTTGTGACCATCTTTGCAAAGGCTAGAAGTGAAAAATCCACAGAATTATAAGATGGTCAACCTCAACTCAATCCCTGGAGTCATTATGGTGTACATCATCTTGGAGTCCACCTCCAAGCAGATGCAAAACAAAGTGGCCATCACAAGGGAACATGGCTTCACCAACCAAAGGACAAGGGTCCAGAGGGCTGCCAAGATAACCAGAATCCTGTAGCACACTATTCTTGTGAAGACGATGAGAGAGCTAGGTTTATTTAGACTCATGAAGAGGCAGATAGAGAGTAATTTCAAACCAGCCTACAGCTACCTGAAAATGTAGCTGCAACAATGATAGAAAAAAACTCAACCAAACAACACTCTTTGTAGTGACCAAAGGTAATGGCACCTGAAATAATGGCAACCCAAGATAATGGCAATGGACGCAAATCTGAGTTTCAGACATTCAGGATGGACATTAAGAAATGTATCATAAGGTGGGTAACATGGCATAGGACAACATGCTTGGAGAAGTTGTGGAATCTTCACCCTTGGAGCTCTTCCAGAGTGGTCCAGACAAAGCTGCAGCTGATTGACCCAATGTTAGTGACTGTCCTGCCTCAACAAGAAGGTTGGCACTCATGACCTACAAATTCTCTTTCCTATCAATATTTCTTTGATGCTATGACACTTTTTGCCACCCTGTAGCCACTTGTACTACAGTCCGACTTTTTCAGACCATTCCATCAATTTCTCAGAATCAAATTCTGTCCTCTAATGTATCTGCATTTTTTTCTACTTACATTGTAAAATTTGACAAGTAGACTTTTATTCTATCTTCCGCATCACTATCAAAACAGAACTCAGGAAGCAATCCAGCCAGACTGTGCTCTAACTCTCTGTCAGAAGAAAAAGATACATCCTCTAAATATTCTCCAAATATTAATTGTTGTCCTTTTTTAACTGTCTCACCTACAATACTTTCACTTAGACACTGCTTCCCTAGTTTACATGTAAAAAACATCCTGGGAAATGTCTCAAAACTTACTAACTTCAACAGGTTATTCTTACAAACATTGTTAAAACTGTTAAAATATAGACCCAGAAGGCAAAAAAAAATATCTTTTCAATACCTTTTTTTGTTTGCTTTTACGGACTTTCAACAACTAAACTTCCCCTTTCTATCCTTAAATTAAGACTTGGTTGGCACTCTTTTGTTTGGTAACTGTATCGTGAGACTCCTCCACTGTCAAGTTATGAACTTGTACTTCGCAGATGCTTTCAGGGCCAGTTTGGTTCATAATCACCAAGATACTCCAGCAAGTACATAAGCTAGTGACCTCTACTAGGCAAAAAAAAGCTGGGAAGAGCTGTATAAGGTGGCTCCACGCAAGTGTCCCGCAACTGCTGCTCTGTATGCTCCGTATTTTTCCATTAGCTGAGTTATTCCTGTTCTCTCTTCATTACACAGAGCTGACAGTGTGTATTTTAAACACATTCATGTCTGTTGAGCTCTTGATAGCTTATTCTCAGTATCTAGGTTGAATTTCTTTTTTGTCCCTTTGCTTTCTCATCTCTTCCACTCCAGTCAATCTTTTTCCTCACCTACAGAGTCGCTAACTGAAACCTGAAGCTGAGACGGAAAAAAAAGTTAAAAAAATCAAAGCTAGAAGAAAAAATGCCTGAAGCCAACTGTTTGGATTCTAAAGTGCCTGGAAAATACTTTTATATTTTGTCTCTTCTCCTATACAGTGATGTTTTCTACCTGAAACCCACAAAGACCATTAAATGTCTCTGGGCAATTCATCCCGTGTCCTTCTTCCAGAGGCAGCTGGCAGACTCCTAACTAGAGTCATACAGAACACTTGGTCTTCTAAGTGGACCCACAGGTCAGGGCAGGGTATATCCTCAAAGATCTTCTGTGAAATCCAGGTGAAGGTTTGAATCCATGGACAGTTGCACAAACTCTACTGTGCTGCAATCTTAACCTTCCTCTCTTCAGTAGGGGATTCTCTTCATGACTCTTTGAAGATACATCAGTCCATATTCACATCTAAATATAGCTGACATCAAAGATAAAATCTGTAGGAAATGACAGTAACAATTTCAGTGTCAAATCCCAAAAGGATTCTCCTCACATCTTCCAGATAACAAAGTAGAATGGAGCAGGCTGTCTTGGCCTCATCATCTCTCTTCTTATATGCTTCGGGTCATAGCTATTTAAAACATGTATGCACACAACACATGCGCACAGGCAAAGGAAAGAGGTGAACACCATTCATAAGCTAAAGCAGCAATGTATTTTCCTTTATGATGCAAGTAAGCATTAATCCCCTCTACCCCCAACCTTTTGTAGTAAAGACTAGAACTAATTTTGTGTAGAGGAGAAGAGATTAACCTTTAACATAAACAGTGGGATCTGGGGAATTTTTTTCTTGGGGAGAGTTTTTCTTTTTTTTTTTTTTAGTACAAACTTAACCATATACTAAATGAGAAACATGGCAAGAGAGGCAGTGTATGGCTGAATAATTGCTAAGTTACTACACAGTATTATGAGAAATGAATTCAAAAGCCAAACAAAAAAAACACTACAGAAATTCAACAGTCCCACTCCCTTCAAAGTTAACTGGCCAATGTGCTTTGTAAACTCAGAATTAATACTAAATTTTAAAATAATGGCACTAGCTCCTTTATTCCTTCCACCAAGCAAGCAAAGTGACACATAGAACAAAAAGATACTATTTCCACTCAGGAAATCTGATCCTAGGTTACATTCTTTTCCTAAAAGCAAATGAAATATAACTTATCTAGAGCAAATAAAAGTCCATGTTGAAGCACTGTGGCTCAGCCAAGGTAACGTTATCAGCAGGGGGCAGCAGGAGCCTTCCTCGAAGCTTCGTTTCATTCCCGAATACCCTGCAAAATCTGCTCTCTTATCTTTCTGTATTTTTGCAAGTGGCTTTTTATAATACATCCAAAAGACTAGGTTCTGTCATCCTCTTCATTATGGGCTAACAGAAGGGGCTTAAACTTCTGGCTCCAATGCAGATATGAGTGGCAGGATGAAGGCAAACTATGCTTGGAGAATCTCAGGAGAAAGAAAACATCCGTGCTGACCAAGCCCCAAAACACCAGCATGTATAAAAGGAGATGATTTGATATTGTAATTACACCTCACTGGAACAGTCTTACAGACAGTTCACATTTATAGGTCTCCCTTAAGATTTTGTGATAGTTTATATAAACTGTTCCATTTTCATGTTTTTTAAAATGAATCAGGGACTACACTATGACAGCCTGTTAAATTAATAACTAAGGAAGCAAGCTGACACAGTGAAATTAATTCCTCATTGCACAGGGGCATACATAAACACTTTACAACATAACCCTATTTATTTTCACACATAGGGCTTCAAGAGCTCACATCTGGGAATTAGTTTTCCCATTTTAAAATTATAAAAGGAAGAACATTAAAATAATAGAAATGGCTTTGTGTGAAGAATAAAAATGGGGCCATCAAGAAGCACAAAGTCACAGATTAAAAATGGTACTTTGAGATTTATCCTTTATATCCCCTGCTGCATGTACTTCACAAAGTAATAAATATAACACAAATAAATAATTTCTTATGAACTAATATCAGTGCAACTGCAAAATGATTAATTCTGTGCAGAACTGGTATCCTGAAAAACCTCACTGGAGTTAACAAAAATAAACCAAATGCCTCTGAATTTGTATGCAGAACAAGGCCATGGCTTCCTTCATCAAAGCGAAGCTGCTCTCATCACGTTGCCAGTAATCTGCTTACCTGCAGCAAAGAGCATGACTGCAACTGGTCTGTAGAACCGCCTCCGAGATCCCACGCAGATAGAGATCAACCCAACCAGGAAAGCTATGAGAATAATGGCAGCACCACCCAGCAGCAAAGCAAGAGTAGCTATCTGCCAGTCTAGGGGGAAAAAAAACAGAGAGAGGAAAACAATAATAATGCAGTTTCAGTAAAACAAGTCCATAGGTCAGACAGAAACAGAATATGAGGAACACAAAAGGCTGCATCAAGGCTCGAATAAACAAACAACTGTGCTTCAGATTTCTTTTCTCCTAATTAGTGAAACACCTTTATACAATAGATGCAACTCAGGAGCAGAATGCTACAACCTCCCCCACTTTTTCTAAGGCTTCTTTAGGATTTTGGCTCCAGTAAGACTGAATAATTTGGTTCCCTGGTTTTTGTCCAATTTAGAATGAGAAATTGAAGCCGGGTCACAATTAGCTGGCCCCCAGTCTGCAGTAACCTTCTCACATAGAACAGTAAAAGTCAAACCTCTACTTGAGCTGATTAGGATGGCATAGGAAGGCTCATTATACACACTTGGTACTTGGGAAGCCACATAATATGACTAACAAGACTAAGGTGTAGGAAGATGTTTAGTTAACAAACATTAGATGTAGTGAGTTAAATCTGAACTCCATTTTAAAACATCAGTTATCCTTAAGTGCCAGTTTTTCTTTTCTTTCCCCAAAATCAGCTTCTGAATTTGGCCCAGTGTATTTTCTAATTATTTTGATACATAATGAATGCAGTTATAAACAACACCCTTGCAGTCTTACATCACATAAATGAAAAATCCATTTGCAAGCTGATGATCTAACTCAAGAAATTCCGTAGGATTTTAGAAAGGCATGGGCTTTGTGCTGCCTCTCTGCTGAAGGCTAAGTAAGATCTTTTCTCCCTCCAATAACAGTCATCAAGAAAAACAATCAGATCACTCCTATTTATTAGTACAAGGAAGATGATCTAAGATCTGCTTTTGGGAAAAGGACCTATGGATCCAATGCATCTCGCATTACTTTGAACATACTAGCACTCATACAATATTCAGGATAAAATGTCCAAATGCATGACAACAGTTCCAAGAAGAGATTAATTACTTCCAAAATAAATTTAGAGATATTGAGGTTACTAAAAGAAGAACGACAAAAATCCACATCCTCTTTCGGAAAAGGGCAAAAGTCAGTATTTTAAAAAACAGTACATCCAGTTTCAAGCAGGATCTAATCTGCTGAAGATACCAACAGTGCAGCTGTCGGGCTTGGGAATGGAAGGCTGGCAGCTATTATCACCAAAGAGCCTTCATATACTATATGAAAAAGGATGGAGATTAAAGAAGAAAGTGAACAGAAAAGCTATAAAAGCATTGCTCAAAAAGATAGTTAATTTAAAGGCGGCTTTGTGCAAGTACATGTTTATTTTCATTCTTTTTAGACATCCAGACGTTGTTTACTAATACTTACAAAAGTACTCAACCATCCAAGCTATTTTACTCCAAAAATCCAAAGCTGGGAACAATCTCTTGTTCTTCTACCATCACCAATGTAATCTCTAACACCAGTCTGCTGTGTCCCCTAACTGCTTTACTATTATTGATATAAAAATGTGATTTTAGTTATGGATAGGAGTGTTATGAAAAGTGGTTTTTAATGTTGACATGATCCTTCAGAAACACCAAGTGGTTAGTGCACTGATGATTTAGAAAGTATTCTTCCAATATCTGAGTGCATTACAGATATAAAATGCAGAAATAAATGAACAGAATGGACTGCTCTGGAACAATAAGAGAGGCATCCTTGAACTAGAAAATTACATAGATACAAAGACTAGACTCATAAATCCATATTGGCCCAGAAGTTAAAAGCCGTACCAAATTGATGAAACGAATTAAAATGCCAGACAGGAAAACTCAGAAACTAAGATTTTTGGAAGCCATTATAAATAATAAAATATTAAATGTTATCTTCACATTGATCAGACGCCAAAGTCTAAGACAAACAGAAGGTGTGCAGCACCGGAGTAGCAGCTAAATGGAAAAAAGCTGAGTATCCTACTGCTTTCCAAAACCACCACATTGGTAAGACCACCAAAAAATGAAAATAACTAAGGTAAAAATGATATAAGCACGAGGTCAGAATATAGTTTTGCTTTCAGGACACACATCTATGGGTTTTGGAAAGGTTAAAAAATAAACAAACTACCTCACTATAGTACTGATGTGGGAGGGAAAAGGACAAATGAGTGTTGGGAGACACCTACACTCCCAACTAAAAAAGAACCGACTTAAACAAAATTAATTTCTTGAGTAAGAGAACCTACTCAGTGATGTTGACAGTAGGACAAAACCAAGGCTCTTAATGTTCCTCACTACTAGCTGAGGATCAGGTATTGAATGCTGTGCTCTGAGCTGCAATGTCTGGAACTGCCTCTCTATTTTGGCTCCAGCCTCCATTCACAGGAGCATACAATACTACCAGCCTTTGCCTTGAGCTGCAGCCAAGAGGGATTCTGGTTAAAGAATATCACGACGGTAAGATGCTAGTGCACAAAGCATACTGGACTGAATTTTCCCTTATTGCCTACCATGGAAACTGCATGTATAAGTCTCCTTGTCATCTTACAAAAACCTTAACTTTCAATTCTGGAAGTCATTTGATCTGGTGACTAAAGCTTATGTTGGACTAAGGAAGCAGTATCTTCTGCATGAGCCTTCTACTTAACAGCAATTTTTTGAGGAAAAACTCCAGGCCAGTAGACTTTATATGAAAGAAAGGAAACATCAAAAGACAACTGAATCAGTAACCCTGAAAAGAAAAACACTCTGTTAGATACCTACCTAGCAGCCTTCCAGTATCTGAAGAGGGGCTATAGGGATGCTGGAGAGGGACTATTCATTACGGACAGTAGTAACAGGACAAGAGGCAATGGGTTCAAACTTAAACAGGGGAAGTTTAGATTGGATATAAGGAAGAAGTTCTTTACTGTAAGGGTGGTGAGGCACTGGAATGGGTTGCCCAGGGTAGCTGTGAATGCTCCATCCCTGGCAGTGTTCAAGGCCAGGTTGGACAGAGTATTGGGTGACATGGTTTAGTGTGAGGCCATGGTAGGGGGGTTGGAATTAGATGATCTTAAGGTCCTTTCCAACCCTAACTATTCTATAATTCTAACAATATAACCACACAGAGCAAGTGCAGTTTTCCACAGTAAAAATCTATAATGTTCCTCCGACTACCCAGGAATGACTTATAACACACAGCATCAAAACTGGTACAGCAGATTGCTCTGTTACATTATGTTACTGGTACACAGAACATAAACATCATAAACCTACTTTAGAGTATCCATAATACACTTGCACCATTTCTAGGCATGCACCAATCTTGCAAGTAAGATACTATACTCAGTTCAGGAGGCTCAGCAGTTTGGTGAGACTGCTTGTTCTCACAGAGATAGAAACATGCATAAACATGAGCAAAACAGGACCTTATAAACAATAATTATTAGTTTCCTGGATTCAAAACATAATTTGGGTACACTTTAGGGATGCATGTCAGTACTTTTCACTGTACATTGCTACAGTTTATTTACACTACACATCCACTAAAAAAAACGTTAAATAGCACTTCTTGTGTTAAGAACTCCCACCATATAAAGTTTTAGATTTTAAAAATCACTGTCATTTCATCTACACGCAAATTAAGTTGCTATGTTGATTTATAACTGTAGAGTCAACAGAAAGCATAACTTTAGTTTTTTTCAGCGTTCTGTCATTCCAGCAATATGTTAAGAATTACACTGATGATGCCACCTATCCCATCCAAACAACTCGAATGCATTTTTGACAATTGTTAAGCAACTTGAGACAGATTTCTTAAGGAAAGTCTCACTTATTGTATAATATTTCTAGGTCTGAAAATCCAAACATGTTTTTGTACCACACAAGAAGCATCACCATGTCTATAACCATGGGAAATATATACTGCTATTCTGACAGTGATGATAGTGTCATTGTAACAATCTGCCTGTTAGTTTAGGGATGTGGATTTCAATATTTGGAAATAAATATAAACATGAACCTAGGTACTTAACACATTTTCAAATCATATATGGTGTAAAATTTATTAGAATTACCATCTTTGGTGAAAAAAGCAGACCACAAACCATGATGATATTGTTTCTTTTCAGTTAATTTCTCATAGATAAGTAAGTCAGTGCCTTTTTGTAAGGACAGCTTGGTCTGATTGCTCTTTGGAAATTCTGCCTGTTTCTTAATGATATGGAAGCATAGGGTTAATTGCACATTGAAACGTGTGACCCTCCTCCCTTCTTCGCCCCAAATGAAATGACCTAAGGCTTTAAGCTGTATATTCATTTTTAATTAAGACCAGCTCTATCTGCTCTCTTAGGCAAAATACTTCTGTACTAGGATAAAATCAGGAAAAGCCATAACAGAAGGAGAAAACATCCCAAAGTTCTGAAATGTTTATTTTAATAACTAGTTTTTTTTTAACACAAGAAAGAGTAATGCAAAAGTCTAGCATTGTCATAGAATTCATGTTTTCAGTGAGTTCCCCCCAAAATTACCTATTTCGTATATGTGGTACTCTACAGTAAAAGAAATAATGGACATTAAAAAATACTGGAGAATATGTGAAACATTTGTGTATAGGGACCTTTCAGGTAATGCAAGTGAACGGAATTAATCTCTTGGGAAACTAATCAAGTATTCCTTTGTTTCATAAAATGATTCTCCACGAAGTCCTCTCCTCATAGAGGCTGAAGTGAGAAAATGCATGCAGCTGTTACATGATGAAGGCAATGACTAAGCTTCTTCTAGCACAAAACAAAACCTTGGTAAGTAACAAAACACAATACACTCTTAGTTAAGTTTTTCTGATTCATTGCAAAGCCTCCACTTATCATGTACCTGCCCTCAGCCAATAAATATTCTTAGAAATTATAGCATTTAAATTCAAGAATAATGAATTTGAAAGAACGTGTCAAGTACAGCATAGAAAGTTGAGGCACCCACGCATAAGAAATTAAATATAACCCACTGAATGTCATAACAATCAACTAAGATAAATAAGATAGCTAGAGATACTCCTAATTGCTTC